ATCAATAAAGCATATTAATTGATATTCTAACATTGCTGAGAATTTTCATGTTGAATGAGTGTTGAATGTTGCCAAATGTTTGCTCTGTGTACAATGATATATTCTTTTCCTTATTTCTTCATCTTAATATGGTGAATTGGATTTGAATTCCACATATTAAACCACACTTTGATGCATAATTTTATATTCTTTATAGATTATTTGCATTAATTTGATAACATTTGTTACAGACTTTCATGTTCATGAGTGATGTTGCCTTGTGGATTTTGTTGTCTTATGATGTGTGAATAAACTTATGTAGGGACCTGGAGAGATGGCTCAGTTGATAAAACTGCCTCTTTTACAAGCACCAGGCCCTGAATTTGAATCTCCAGAACCCAGGTAAACCTGGGTGTTGGTGGCATGCTCTTGAAACCCTAGCAATGGGTGGACAGAAAGAGATCTGTTATGTTCATTGGCCAGTCAGCCTAGCAGAATCAATAAGCTTCAGAACTGACCCACCTTGTCTCAAACTAAACAGTATTTAGAATAGATATAATAAACATCAACAATTTATCAAGGAAAGACATCCAGCATCAGTCTTGGACCTCCACATGCATGCACATCTGTATGCACACATGTATACACCCTCACAGTAACAAGTACATACCATAAACACACACACAACATACACACACATATACACACTCACACTAACAAGTACATATCATAAACAAACAGAACACACACACACACACACACATGCACACTCATGTGGATATTGTTGGGAATTTTAAGCTTGGTTTTCTATGTAAATCTAAGTGATGCCATCGCCAAAATTCCATTCTTCTAAGTTGCTTTGACAGTTTAGAATCTGGTTGGCAGTAGTTTTTGTCAAGAAGGACAAGATTGAGGGGTATGAATCCAAAGCTGCTTAAATTCATCCAAGACTGACTGATACTGGAATAAAATACATCTTCCTTCCCTTCAGTTGTTCATCCCAGATATTTTATCAGAGGGAGAAAGTCCAGTCAACACAATCAGCTTACCTGGTCACTTAACCACTCAAACAATGTCAGTGAAAGAAAGAGGTAGAAAGGATTTGGGAAGCAACTATCCATGCTGGCTAATGTGTTACTGGGACTGCGCTCAAGCTGTGATAACTTGATGAATTGCCCTTTTGCATTCCACAGAGATTGAAGAAGTGGGAGTGGTAATCAAGAATCCAAACATCCTGCCAAGTAGACAATCCAAGAGAAATGCTGACCAATTTTTCATCTGGTTCCTCCGCATTTTTAGAGTTCCTGCTCATCATCCTTCTCTTTGTGTCACTGTGGAATCAGTGGTCTCATTTTCAAACCACCCTTAGGCCATGTTGTAGTTCCCCTGATTTCAAATCACCTTGTATTAATTATGTTTTAGCCTGGTAACGCTCATACAGGGGATCATTGATTATGCTTGGAGAGGCTGAGCAGGGGCAGAGAAGCCAGTGATAGTAACTGCTGACAGGAGCTCTGGAGAGCATAAATACATTTAAAGGCAGGTTAGGAGTTCATTATTCTCTCAGGAATGAGGGCAAGGGAAGGCATTTGGACTGGGATCTCTGTCTATCCTTATTCTCTGTGGTCTCTGCAACACAGCTGGGAGAACTTGAGAAACCACAGTCTGAGGTTGACATTCTTAATGGCTTCCCGTGTCATTCCGAGTAAACTGTAGCTGCTTGCAGTGGCGCAGGCTGACGTGCCCTGACCTGAATACCCATCCCCTTTCTGAGAGTTCCCACCACAGCTGCTTCCTACCATTCTGCTGGAACTCTAGCCAGGTCAGATGGCAGAGCCCTTGCCTGCTGATCTTTTTGCTTGGAGGCTTTTCCCCCCAATTCCCTCAGCATTGCAGATCTTTACTCAGATTTCATCTCTGGATTTTTCTCCCTCAGACCAGCATATTATCTCCTTTCGTTATCTTTTTTCTGCATGTCATTTATCACATCTTTTCTACTTCCTAAATTTAATTCATTAATTAGGAACAAATATATAACCTCTCTGGATATCAAGATTTTTAGCATTTCAAATCAATAGTCCATGGTATGTGGATGAGAGACTGGGCATTTCAGGATGTTTCAAGTATATTTTACTTAAGCTTTAGTGAAATATTAGTTGCAATAAACTCTAACTTACTGCATTCTTGTGCATTTTCTGTTTATGGAAAAAACAAACTCTTTCATCTTCTTTTGTATATTTAAAATACCATGGCAAAATAATGTAATGAGGGCTTCTCAGTCTTGACCCTCTTCAAATTTGGGCTAATTCTTGTGCGTACTTGCGTGCGTGTGTGTGTGTGTGTGTGTGTGTGTGTGTGTGTGTGTGTGTGTGTGTGTGTGTGTGTGTGTAAATGCATGCTCACAAGCGTGTGGGTGCACATGCATGCAGGTGTGTATGTGGAGGCCAGGGGTCTCAGTCAGCTCTCCATTTTATTTACTGAAGCAGAGTCTCTCGCCAAACGTAAGCTTGCTGATTCAGCTAATCTAGGTAGCCATTTGCCCAAGGGATCTGTCTCTGCTTCTCAAGTGGGAATTGTGGGTTACAGGTAGACTACCATGCGTGCCTGGCCTTTCTGTGCATGCTGGGGAGTCAAACTCTAGCCCCCAAACTTGCACAGCAAGTACTTTATTCACTGAGTCATCTCCCCAGTCTGTCGCCACTGTTTGTGGTTATGGCTGTAGGTTGTTTAAGCAGCATTTTTGGCTTCTACTCACTAGAGGCCAGATGGAAGATGTCACCTTTTCCCCATGATGTGACAACCCAAAACTGCTCCAGACATTACCAAGTGTCTTCAAGAGGGCAAAATTGCCCCCAAGTGGGAACTACTGCTTTAATTAGTTTTCGCATAAATCTACCTGAACAAAGTGTTATATTTGATGAGATACATGTAACAAAGTGGACATCATGAGACTTTCATGCTTACTTTATGAATTCCATCAATAGGCATTATTATTAAGCCAGCATGGTTGCATGGCTCATTTAACTGACAGAAACATGCACTAGATAAGAAAATAGAGTTAAGGAAGAGAAAGAAAAGGGATAATGTTCATGTAATACCCTCGGAAATGCAGCCCCATGGAATGGTAGGAAATGTTGACACATTTCCTACAGCAAAGGGGTTGGAAACAAAACAAACCAAACCAAAAACCAAAAACCACAACAAAACAAAACAAAGACCCTCGTGCAATGTTCCATAATTTATACAGGTGAAACCAGATTAAAGCAGATTTTCATGCTTCACAGGGAAAATGAAGTTTAAAAAGGAATACATGTAACCTGGAGTCTAAACGTAACCTGGGGTCTATCTGGAAGGAAGATAGGGGGTGGTTTGTGTATTGCAAAGTTGGTTGGGAGCATAGACTGTTAGGAAGCTAGACAGGAGGTTTGCAAATGAATTTCTGATTCTTCCTCTTTTGAGAAACAAGATTAGCTAATTAAAAGCTCTACTCTTGGGGCTGGAGAGATGGCTCAGTAGTTAAGGGCAATTGGCTGCTCTTACAAAAGACCCAGATTTGAATGCCAGCACCCATATGGCAGCTAACAACCATCAGTAACTCCAGTTCCAGGGGATCCAACATCCTCTTCTGACCTCCGTGGGCACTGCATGACCCCAGTACACTCACATACATGTAGGCAACACACACACATACACACACACACACACACACACACACACACAAATAAAAATAATAAAGAAAATGTTTAAAAGCTCTGCTCTTGTAATAACACTTCTTGTCCCAGCTGAGTCGTCTATAGACACTGGTTTAGGTAGCCGTCAGTATTAGAATCCTAGTCCCTAAAGCTGCTTGTCATAACCCATGCCTTTAATTTTAGGATAGGACTGCTCCTAAACTATGTAAGTCTTAAAAGTCATTTAGGGAACTGGAGAGATGGCTCAGTGGTTAAAAGCACTGAGTGCTCTTCCAAAGGGCCCAGGTTCAGTTCCTAGCACCCACATGGCAGCTAGCAACCATCCATAATTCCAGTTCCAGGGGTTCAATGCTTTCTTCTGACCTCCATAGGCATTGCAGACATGGTGTACTTACATACATGTAGGCCAAACTCTTGTACACAGAAAATAAAAATATTTCAAAAACTCATATGGCCTTTGTAATAAGTAATTAGGTGAAGTTGGAGAGATGTAATTTCAGAACTACGGGAAAGTGAAACACATTTTGCAATTTGAGGTGGATGTTCTCAAAAAATGAGTTGAAAGGAAAGAAGTGTGTGTGTGTGTGGAGCCCACGGATGCCAGAGAAAAACATCTCAAAATACATGGTTTGAAGATGCTTGAGTACGTTTGATTTTGACCTCTTGGTCATTTTACATAACAAATTTTATCCCATTCGTGGCATCTTCATCTACGTGAGACTCAGCCCTGGATCTGTCACCTTGACCCTTCCTCATTAAATGAGATGCAAGTTTCAGAAAACTAGAAGCCCAGTCTTCTAGAACCACTACCAGAGTGTGAGCTACATTGATTATCTGCTATGTTTTTTTTTTTTTTTTTTTTTGTCAAAACCGTGTCACGAAACAGGTCTCTAGAGGCACCAAAGAAGCTAAATTAATAATAATAATAATAACAACAATAATAACAATAATAGTAAAATAAAAAAGAAAAAGAAAAAAGGCCCCTAAAGGATAGTGGCACTTAACTGGAACTTTTAGACACCTTTGGGGGTGGAAAGAAAAGAATAGCAGCTTTTGCTTTTTAATCCTGAATATCATGTTTAAAAAAAGCATGAGGCCTAAACTGTAGCTGAAAGTGCCATCAGTTTTCCAATTATGATATCGGACTTGCTAAACAGGAGTATGCACTCATGGGAGAAAAAAACAACAAAAAAAGATTATGTATGGGAGTTTGAAAAAGAAATCCGGTTGGATCTGTGCTAAGAACAAAACAGTCTCACACCCCCAGGTCTTTCGGTGCAAATCCCTCTGCTTGCTCTGTGGGGAGAGACTGCCCCCGAGTATCCTGCTTTTCACAAGCTTCCCAATCAGCTCTCGGGGGCCAGGCGCTCTCCCTCCCTCGCCCAGCCTGCGTCCTCTCTTTGCCGGCTCTTCTCATCCCTCCTCTTCATTTCCCTCCCTGGCAGGGTGTAATTGAGTCAAAGGCAGGATCAGGTTCCCCGCCTTTCGGTCCAAAAATCCCGCCAAGGGAGCCCCAGAGCACAGGATAATCCAAAGTGGAGAGAGGGGAAGAAAGAAAGCGGTGAGTCATCGGTCCAGGAGGGGGGAGAGAGCAGCCTTGCAGGCGGGAGCTGCAGTCACCAGTACCTGGAGTCGGTGGAAACCTCGCCCGGTGCAACAAAGGCAGCCTGCTCGCCGGCTAGGACCCTGCAACCCAAAGTAAGTGCCAGGCACCGGGTGGGTACCCTAAGGGGCTCCGTGTGCCTCCGCCTGGGCCGCTTTCCCGGCAGCCAGCAGACCATGGTGGTGGGAGCGGGAGAGCGGGTGCCTGGTGTCTTTGCTAATAGGACTGCTTTTCAAAACGAACTTGCTCCAGAAGCAAACGGAGGCATATTTGGGGGGCGAGTCTGGACAGGGTAGCTAGGGTGTGCTTGGCTGAGAAAATAAAGGAAAGAAGCTTTTGTGCTGGGAAGAGTGCGTGGGGACCGCGTTCTGACTACCTGCTGCAGCACGCGCGGGGAAAGGGCTAGAGAGAGCATGTTTGTGCTCTTTGTAAAACCTGCAGCTTTGGTGGGTGTGTCTGGCCCGGTAGGGAAAAGAAAAATAAGACAGCCTCAACAGGCAGGTCTCATTTTCCTGCCCTAGCTCTGCTTCTCTGATTGCCCCAGGGCTTGCCAACTGGTAACTCAGCTGGTTGCTCTAGGTGTGGCACATGCGTTGCCTGTCCCTCCCTGCTGATGGGGAGCATCTCACCAGGGCAGCGCGCACTCCCTGACCTGGAGTGGTTCATTCCCAAGTTTCAAACGCACACTTTGAATTCTGTCTCCTGCTGGGGTGTTAATTCTAATAGCTGCCTTGCATTCAGGCACTTGAGTTTCCAATTTCACCCACACAAATCAAGGATATAGCTATTATTAATTTGCCGGTTACCCAGGATATCTGAATTGATGTTTCAAGTAAGTTTACCGTAATATATTTTGAAAAAAATGTATTCAACTTCTCAGTTCAAAAGCACAAAATTTCTTCTCTCTCTCTCTCTCTCTCTCTCTCTCTCTCTCTCTCTTCTCTTTCTTCCTCTCTCCACACACACACACACACACACACACACACACATTTATATGTACCATGATGCAGCACATATACATACAAGAGCACAGTAAAGTTTACTGCTTTGTAGGTGTAGGGGCAGAGTGGGTGGCCTGAGAAGGCACACTGTGGGGGAAGAAAAAAGTTCTTAGCATCTCTCCTTTTGCAGAGCTCTGAGGCATTTGTCTTGAGCAGTTTGAGAAAGTGTGTGTGTGTGTGTGTGTGTGTGTGTGTGTGTGTGTGTGTGTGTGTGTGTTGGAGGGGAGAGCAGAGCCTGGGAGGAGGTTCAGGAACTACCAAAAAAAGCTTTTGAACTAACAGTATAATGGAGCAATTTCATGATCCAGGAAACGTGGGCTTGATGAAACAGCAGAGCCCATTTCAGCCCTTTGATCATCTGGGGATGAATTGTTTTTGGGGAAATATTAAGAGGTAATGAGAGTAAAACAGAAGAGAAGTCGGCCAACACAGAAAAGAAAGCCGGTATTTTCCAGCTTCATTATGATCCTGTTAAAGTAAATTATGTGCCTTAAAGGCCAAGTCATTAGAAACACTTATAGTCCAGTTAAATTCAAAGGGAATTAGGGTGAATATTATTCCCTCCTCCTCTTTGGGACCTGAGTTATTTCAGACTGGCAATAGTGGTTCTTTCTCATCAAAATTAGAGGATGGGATTTTCAAATTATTTTAAAAGCCCCAGTGCCATCCTTTCATGCAATAAGAAACCGTTTTTAAGTTTTCCAATTAGAATTTAAATCTTTCGAAGGTGATGTTTCTTCTGCCGGTCACAGACTCACTTGAAATCAACTTTCTCATTTAGTGAACTGCCTGTGCATGGAACACCCTGCCCAGTTGCCACCCTAGCTATGTGTCACCCATAGCCCCTTTGGGTGCTGGATCCCATCTCTTTGTGAGTGAAAATACATTATGGCCTCAAAGGTAGAGCTAGAGAGAGAAAAAACTACTGTTAACATGACTCTTTAACCAACTCCCAAATGAGGCGTCACAGAGGGTAAAAACAATATAGTATATTTTACTATATACTATAATATGCAATTTTTTGTTTTCCTGGACCTCTTTCTACAGCATTGGAAGCAAAATACAAACTTCCTTATTTAGTGAAAAATTCCATATTTCTTATTTGGTCTTTACA